GCAGTTCACAAAAACTAAAATTAAATTTAATGGTATTTGGATGGCGTCCTCAGAAAAATTCTTAACTTCAGTATGTATATATTCTTGCTCATAATGTTTTAAGTGCAGACAACAGTAATAGTGCGTCTTTGTCTGGTTTCTACTGCTGTAATGAAACAGCATGACCAAAAGCCACTTAGGAACAGCATAGTGTCTGTGCGGAAGCTCAAGGCAGGAACTTAGAAGCAAGAACTGAAGCAGAGGTCATGGAACAAGACTGCTTACTGACTTTCCTTCATGGCTTGCTCAACCCACTTTCTCACACCACCAACAACCACCTGCCCAGGAGTGGCAATGCCCCCTGGGGTGGCACTTTTTTCCATCAATTAGCAATCAAGAAAATGAGCTCACAGACTTCACCCACCAACAATCTGACAGAGGCATTTTCTCAGCTGAGGTTTCTCTTCCCAGATAATTCTAGCCTGTGTCTAGCCGAGAAAAAGCCAAGCAGGACCCAGAGTGAGAAGGCTAGAATAGAAGAGTCTCTCAGGAAGCATCTCCTGAAATCACCAACTCACCTGATTTTCTACTTTATTATTTACTGTGTTTAGGTTTGTAGTATGTGTAAAAGATTTACATTTTCTTCAAATTAAGCTTCTATAATTTTAGCAAATTTTCAATTAACAATCTAAAATTGTTTTCTTTGTTGATATTATTATTACATGGGATTGTTGCTCCAAGTAGAATGTACAACTGATTCTAGCAATTTTTCTCATTAACTTACTGTGGTTTATTTATTTCCCCATCATTTTAGTCTTAGCCTTTAATTGTACAATGACTCAAAAATTGACTAGACAAAATGTCATTGAGCATTTTTTTCCTCAAAATGCTCAACTTCTAAATAATGGAAAATGTAATTTCATTAAGCCAATTCATTATAAAAGATAAATTCTCCAAAAATGTATTTAATCCTGCATAATTAAAACTAATATATATAGTTTAAGAGCTTTATGGAATTTTATTTTATTTAACCAAAATTTAACATTTCAAGCATTCAAATTTAAACTGTATTAATTGAAAATTTATCACACTCTCACTTCTCAGTTTATTTGATTCCATTTTAATGAATGCAAGTGATCTATTGCTTTATTTTTTCTTTTTAAATAATTTCTTATTTGAGAATTATGTACAGTATATTTATTATATTCTTCTCCTTGCCCCCGTGCCTCCCAGATCTTCCTCCTCTCTACCCACCCAACTTCATGTTCTTTCTTTCAAAGGCGGGGGGGAGAAAAAGAAAGACTCCACTAAAAACCATGGAGTCTGATTCGTGCTGGCCAACTACTCCTAACCATGAGGCCTGTGCTGGACTGTGGTGGAAGTACCCAATGTCACTCCATTGAAGAAAATGGTGGAGACATAAATGTATCTCAAATTAATTGACTTTTCTTAGTCAAGAGAGAGGTGCTCTCAAAAGAAACATTAAAACACACTAGAAAGCAAAAACAATAAATGAGCACCTAGAACTGAAGCCACGAGGAGAGAGGTGCACATGCTAGGGACCGATGGCCCACATCCAAGAGGACCCTAAGATTCAGTAAATATGTGAATTCATTTGTGGAGAACTTTCTAACGTCTGTCTGGAGGCTTGAATTACATACCAAAACATACATCAAAATGTGAATCTAAGGCAGGTGTGGTGTTATATGCCGAAACCTCAGCAGCTGGGTGGCAGGGGCAGGAGAGTCACCAGCTAGAGGCCAGCTTCGGCTACACAATGAGGTCCTGTGACGGGAAAAAATGACAGTGCGTGTGCTGGCTAGTTTTTTGTCACCTTGACACAAACTTGAGTCGCCTATATTTGAGAGACCCTCAGGTGAGAAATTGCCACCATTGGATTGACCTGTGTACAAATCTGTGTGGCATTTTCTTGAGCCATAATTAATGTGGGAGGGCCCAGCCTACTGAGGGTGGCACTATCTTGGGCGGGTGTTTCTAGGTGGTATAGGCAAGCAAGATGAGCAAGCAGCAATCCTGTGGGGTCTGCTTCAGTTCCTGCCCTGATTTCCCTTCATGATGGTCTATAAACCATAAGCTGAAATAAACCCTTTCTTCACAAAGGTGCTTTTGGTCATGGTATTTTATCGCAGCAATAGAAAGCCAGCGAAGACAGAGAGGGAGAAGAAAGGGAGGGAAACCAGGGAGGAAGTAGAGGGAAGAAGGCATTAATTCAGGGAAAGAGAGGGAGGGAAGGAGGAAAAGGTGTGAGGAAGGAGAGAAGAGTGGGGAGAGAAGAGGGGATAAGGGATGAGGGGAGGAGAAAGGTGACTTTAATAAAGTCCTAGATGTTATTAGATGCTTCTGGTTTTACCTGTGACAAAGCAGATTATTGCTGTCTAGTATCAAGGCACATTGTCCATGGGTAGTTTTATTAAGTGTTTGTAACAAATCAAAAAAGGGATGAAACAAAGAAATGGCCTCCCATTTACCATAGTTGGAAATTGTCATTGGTTGGCTTTACATATTCCAGAACATCTGAATGTATTGTATCAAAAACTGCAGGGGCCATATGAAAAACTACACTAACACTTATCAATGTGTTTATTGATGAAACCTCTGAGAAGTCAATCAATGTCCACGCAGTCCATCAATGATATAGTCCGATAATACACATCTTGGAAGAATTATTGGGATTCGAAGCACAGTGTATTTGATGAAAGCCTTACCATTATTTTAAGAGATTCAGGATGAGAAAATTCACTTATTTTATCGCAAAAAAGCCTTGACATATGTTAATGAAAGTAATGAAAGATTGATTGCTTCTCGGCTGCCAGTAAAGAAATCCTATTGTCACACTATAAAGAATTGCTGGAAGAACAGAATGGGGGAAGAAATGAGTATGCTCCCAGGAGCCTCCACCTTGTGAGGTTCTCATTACTAAACAGCAAGAAATTATTTTCTTTTTTCCCTTTTTAGTTGTTTTTGTGTGTATGTGTGCAGGGGGAGGGTTGTTTTGTTTTGTTTTTTGAGACAGGGTTTCTCTGTGTAGCCCTGGCTGTTCTGAAACTAGCTGTGTAGACCAGGCTGGCCGTGAACTCAGAGATCTACCTGCCTCTGCCTCCCGAGTGCTGGGATTAAAGATGTGCACCACCACTGCCAAGGGTAGCAAGAAATTCTAAAGGGATTTTACCAGAAACTAAAATTAGAATGATAAGAACTAAAAGATTAGTTAACACACACACATATATATATTACATGTATAGTCATGAAATCATACTCAAGTTCATTATCAACATCTTTTAACATTTTATTTGGAAGTTTTATACAAATTCAGTATTATTTTTCTTTTCACTTGGTACTTTTCTTAGACTTTTGTAATAATAAAGAAAATATGCATAATGATTTTCACTAAAGTTCATGTAAGCCATTCCTCAAATCTTTTGAATTTACCCAAGTATGTCATATAAATATAATCACTTTCAATGTGTACATCGACAGGAAGAATCCTTGTACAAGTTGGACAGTGTCAAAAGTGTTTCTATCCAGAATATAAGCAGTGCATTTTATGATACCTTCATTCAAAAACACTGAGAAGGAACCAGAAAACCTCGGAAATTATAGAAAGTTCAGTTTTACAAAATGTTTGAAAAACAAAGAGTCTTAACCATTTTTTTAAGTTAGTGCACAAACCTGAAGTCTGTCTAAACAAAGTTGTTCAAAAGGGACAAACATCAACCGGCCACCACAGTCATATTATTAATCTGAAGCTACGTCAGCTATTAAAAGTCCATTTATTACCTCATATGCAAACTGAATTATTGCCTTTATATAAATGGTTATATTGAGGAATGGGTCCGTTTGACTGTTCTTCCATTCTGGTTTTGCCATCATGCCTTAAATATGACTGATGAAATGAACCAAAGGCAACAAACCGTCATGTTCCCTTTCGAGATCTCCCACAGAACCCAAACTCAAGCTCACTATGTCTTAAGAAAATCGTAAGCGTCCTAAGCACTCTGATATGGATGATATCAGACGTTGACACTCACAATGAAAATGCATACCCGAAACTCCAGACACAGGCGCCGAGAACAAACACCACACAGCAACTCCCAACATCATATCTGAGCACACACAGTACCTGACTATGCAGAACGTTTGTTTTGGAAGCATGAAGGTGACATGGTCACAATAATAGTGGTCAGCAGAAAATATTTTCCTGGGGAAGAGGAGAGGAAAAAGGAATAGAGTTCCCTCCCATAAAGGACACAATGAAAATACATGCCCTAAGGAAACCTAATACATTCAGCTTACATTAAAATTATTTGAAGAAGCCTCTCGATCACAAGAATTAAATGCAACATGAGATGTAAAATAGTAGTGGAGATTACAATTATTGATCTAGCTATTCCTTTGTTAGTACTTTGGTAAAAATAGGAGATGCTGCAATGTTTTATCTCCAGATCTCCTGAAACCATAATAAATAGGTAGCTTGTAGAAAACATAACCTTATTGAAATGTCCCTTATATTCAATTGAAAGTAAAGTTTAAAAAAAATCTCAATCTAGCACCTTCTAAAACATCAAAATCATTTATAAAGTTCTATCCCAAATTCTGAAGAAAATAGCTTGAATTCAAAACATTAAAGTCATATAAATTATATCTGACCTGAAATTATAGTGGTATTGAACATTTAAAAATGTTTGTATCATGTATGAAATCTGAACTAGTAACATAAATTTGAATTCATGTACCTTTTAAAAACATTTAGAAAAGGCATTTGTTATACAAAATATACTTTACATTCAGAATTGTGAGTTATCACAAAGTAGTTGTCAGTCTACAGGTAGACCGATCAAATGGCAACAAAAATTATTGTATTGCAACTAATATTTGAAATTACGTTTAAAAAAATGCCACAAACACGGCAAACAACTATTCAGTCTGCAGCAATTAGAAACAACTAGAGCCACAACGAGTACTGATACACAGACACGTAGCAACATTATGCTAACAACAATCCCTTTAAGTTATTTTTGGCATGGAGCCAGAAGCTGTGTGGAGACTGGATGCAAAGAGTTGCTCATTGGTTGATTCCCAACACGAAGCACTCAGAATCTTCAAGTAGATGGCACAGTTAAAACGTGGGCTTGTTCATGTATTCTTCCATTGTCTGAAAGAGAACAGTGACTTAGAGCCATCTTCCCTTTAAACCATATGCATTAACAGACTATGATTTGTTTTTCATTCTGTTGGTTTTTTCTTTTACAATGTGGAAAAAATTCAAAAGCATATATAGACATAACTCTTTGCATTCTACTTTAAGTGGCTACAAGTTTGAAGATCATTTATCTACATGTACACATGACTGTACATACATCACTTTCAACTGAGAAAAGGGTAAGCTTGATCAGGAAGTGGATGTTTGGGAAGAGAAATGCTGAAACAACTACGGAGACACCACTGTTCATTTAAAGCTCCTGTCTAAATGACCGTGAGGGCCACACGTGGGCACATGTGTTTGAGAAACCCCAAGTACATGTAACACATGCATTGTTGTCTACGCTGTGCAGAACCTCTTCTTTATACCTACAGCCCAGTCAGAAGGGATAAGTATCCTGTGACTCTGAAAGCTTTCCACCATGCCTTTGGAAGAGCATGTCTCCAAAATACCCGGATCCTCTTTTAGTTAGCAAGTTTGCTGCTAAGCCCCAAAGTTTTAATTTCCTGTCTTCATCTTTTCTTTTAAGTGTTTGATAAGACAGGTAGAATTCCACACTGGTATTGCAAACTCCCTCCTACCGAACAGATACACATTTATGAAAAACAATGACCCAGGTTACATCAGTAAGAGAGCTCATGGGGGGGTGGGGTAGCAAGTTATCCTTAGGCAAAACTTTAAGCCACTGTGAGTCACTCCCAATTTGCTTAGCAACTGACATTTAATTATGCACCCCAACATGTGTGTGATCACTCAACACCTCAGGAATGATTGGCAGCTGGGGCCAAAGAGATCAAGGATGTGACCAACAAGATTGTCCAGAGCCGCTCAACCTGGAGGTTGCATAGTAGATACCCAGCAAATCAGGTATTCACATTATAATTCACAGCAGTAGAAAAATTGCAGTTATGAAGTAGCCACAGAATAATTTTATGGCTGGGGGGGTCATCACAACATGAGGAACTGTACTGAAGGGTTGCAGCATCAGGAAGGTTGAGCACCACTGATCTAGAGGATACCCATATCAGAAATCAGGGTTTCTACTTGTGTTCCCTGCCTCTTTAGAATCTCAGTGTACCACTGCTGAAATGATTTATGATTAGTCACCCACACTTTCTCTAAAGCTTGTCAGCCTCCTAACTGAGCACTGGTCCAAAGAGGCTCATAACCAAGGGCATCTGGCCTGAATCTCCTCTTAAATATTCCATCATTACCTTTGAACTTGACTTGGGTATTAACAATGAACCCTAACCTATGTGAATTTTGTAGAGTTTATCCCCATTTAAAAAGATCCAAAGCAAATTAAGTCTAAAATTTAGAGTAAGAGATGACAGCACATTATCAATATTAAAAAGATGATAAAATAAAATCAAGAATAACATATTCCCTTTGTCTGATACTCTTGTATTGCTACGGCTATATTGTCTTTGCAGTTAAAATGTCTTACTGTTGCAAATTTGAATGGACAGTATGGACACCCTGCCCAACACTTTCTGCAGCCTTGAAGAAGCATGAGATGGTCAAGGACATAAAGTGAATACCTCACTGCCGCAAGGTTTACTGGGCTCTGGTTATCCACCCTATATTAGCATGAGGTAATTCCTGCTATCACTCCAAGGACATAAAGAAATGTTGTAAGAATTTGTTGCTTTCTTGTACTTGCACTTAAAAGGGTTGGAACTGACTTAAAACAGTCGCAGTCTCAAATCTTTGTCTTCCCTTGCCTTCACTAGAGTCAAGCTAGGGTCATATCTTTGGACCCAACTGGAGACTTTCATACCTTGATAAGATGCATTCTGTACCTAATATGCATCCCCTTTCTACTGCACTGTGGTTTTGGTTTATGCTCTGAATATTGAAAAGTGTCAGGGTGTACCAAGCAGTTGTTCATACATCCTCATGAATGAGATGGCCTACGGCTTGACTCCATTTGACCATCCCGTCCTAACAGGCTATGGTCTGTGAAGATCATTCTCTTCATCTAGTACAACCTCTACTCTACAATCTCTGTGCTTCTAACTTTATGACATCACCCACATTGCTGTTACTCCCTCCCAGATCAGTCATTCCCAGACAATTAGACTTTCAGAATTATCAACATCTAACCTGGATATGCTCAGATTAAGATGAGTACTTGGAGCTTTAAGACTATGGGTATTATTAAATATGTGAAATTAACTTTTGTTTCTCTCCCCTAGCCCAAGAAACTTTCATTAGGTGTAATTGAGGGGAAAGTCCTAAGAGCTATTTCATGGTTTTCAGTTGTTCTAAAAGAAGACAACATCATAAAGGCCTTTCTTGGGCCCTAGTAACTACAAATGCGTACTTAGAGCTGAACTCTAAGTGTGGGAAGCCACAGAAGAGGATTCGTTCCACCTTGACTAAAGGTCAGAGCTCCTTCAAGGTTATATGACGGGAGATTTGACCTAAGGTGTGGCTATTGACAGGATGTTTTGACCTAGAGTGTGGTTACTTGATGTTTTGGATACTAAGAATGTAATTACTTTGTTAGTTCCTTGTATCATGGTAAAGAAGTCTCTTGCCTTCCCCTTCCTCTTTGGACTGGGGCATAGAAAGCCTATGAGAAAAAATATGAGGCAAAACTCAGTATTTACTAGATGCCCTCCCAACTCTATCAGTTGTCTCTTGTCTATTTTTCTTAATCCTCACACTTCCCTCCAAACAGGGACGAAGAAGCCAGGCAGGACCCAGTAATTGTCACCCAGGCATGGGATATGACAAATGGTGTCCAACGTGGGGATCGTGGCAGGTCAGGAAGTAAAGGGGCATTCTTCCCCTTTACGCAATTTGAACATTTTCTCCTACATATTCTGTACTTTATGAAGCAGACCAGACATGCAAAGTTGACTCTTCCACAAGCTCTCCCAAAATGTTTACAGATGTCACTGGAAGGGGTACTGGAGCCCACAAGGACACTAACAACACTGTGGCATTTGACTGGCTCTGTTCATTCAACAAGGGCCATTTAAGAGCAGCCACAATCTTGCCTGGTCGCTGAGGTACAGGGCTTAAGACGGGGCATCTAACTCTACCAGTTCACACTGTCTTCTCAGCCATCAGGGACACGGTCAACCAATTAGTGCTTTTCTGTGAAAGGGCTCACTTCTTGAAATGCCTGCTTCCAAGATTCAAGTGGAACTAGGAACAAAGATCCACTGAAAGTTCTTAAAGCCTATTTCCTGCAGCCGGGGGGACTTCGAAATAACTCAGGTGTGTCTTGGCCTCAATTCAGGAAACTTTAGCTACCAAAGTACCAAAGACCCTGTGAAAGGTCTGTCTCTCCAATAAGAAGCTTCTATCTTAAAGACAAAGAGTAGAGTCTTAGGAATAACCCTCACTTCCTACTCCCTGCTTCTCCACCCCAGCATATTTTAATAAATGTTCTTTTACAAGTTATTTACAAGTACTGATTGTTTCAGTGCCTCATAAAATCCCTTTTGTGACATTTGGAAGGAGTCAAGTAAGACTCAATGAGGTTTAATGCATTTCTTCAAGGGGATAATACCTCTAGCAATGAATGCATTGACCTAACAGGCACCCAGAGCTGCTTGTGGGACCCACCCTTGCCTTTCTTCATGTCCACTCACCTGAGGATGGAGTCCCTCCATGGGCAGGAGTAAGTAATCAGCTCAAAGTATTGCCAAGACAGTTGCTGGGAAATCATGCCTAATGTCTTATTAACTTAATCAGTCTCTTATTTCCAAATAGCAGGAAGAATGGCCTTAGTACCAATTTTAAAAGGGTACTTTATAATTCTTGAAATCCTCTTGACTCTTGACCTGCTGTTATGAAAACAGGAAGATGGAAAGACCCACTGAGGCCAGGTGTGGTACATGCCTGTCATCCCAGCACTTGGGAGGTAGAGGCAGAAGAATAGTGAATTTAAAGCCAGCCTGGGTTACACTGTAAGACTCTGTCCAAAAAAACAAACACACACACACACACAGCGGAGAGTGGGGGCAACAGGGGAAAAAGAGAGGGAAGGAAGGAAGACCCACTGGTATTCTGGGAGGCCGGGACAGAATCTAAGCACCTAGAAATATGCTTGGTTTAGGACTGCTCAGAACTGCCTCATTCTAGAAGACAAAAGTCAGAGAAACACAGTGTTCTTTTCCAGTGACCTGGAAGGGGTTAATGTAAGTTATATTACCCTACTAGGTCAGATTCAAATCTGGGATGCTTCTAAAAAGAAAAGTCCCTGGATATTATATGAGGCAAAATGTCAGGGGCAGTGCCAAGCACAGGTTTCAGGGCCCATTTATACCTCAGCAATCCAGCCATAAGTGCTCCTGATTCATTTACACAAACAAGAGCACACAGACACTGACCTAGGGTCTTCCCAAGAGGCAGGGAATTTCAATTAAAATGGCAAATGCCATCTTCGATAACATAGCTCTAATATTCCTGGCAAATGAAATAACTCTGTACTGCTGTGTCTCCTTCCCAGGGCAGAGCAGATATTTTAATGAAAGCCTTTTTATACATCTCATAAAATTACGTTTGCAAAGAATAGCTCCAAGCATTTGATACCCCTAAGAGGGTAAGATATTTTCAGACCCTGAAGCTCAGCAAGACAGGACAAGCAAAGACTCAGGACTAAACCGCAAGGGTCCAAAGCTCTATTTCATATTTATTAACTACAAAATGAGCAGAACATTTCACCTCCCGAGTCTCTGTTCACTCACAAGAAAAGAGACTGAGACCTGGTTAGAATTACTGAAAGAATTGAGCAAACTAATACGTGAGAATTGTTTAAAGTAGAAGCTATGCCCAGCACAACATGCAGGTGTAGTAATCAGAGTGGTAGCTATATTATAATTAGTGCTGGAATCAACATCATCTTTCCCAGGAATAAAAACTGTACTGACCTCCTGTAACATATCAGAGTCTTCAATGGCCTTGACTGCCGTTTTCTTGGATGTTTCCTGAATTTCTCCACCTATTATAAATTCATCAAGGATAAAATACGCCTTTTCAAAATTAAAGATAATATCCAGCTCACAGACCTGGTAAGGAGAAAAAAAAATAAACGTTTTGATAAATTTGGAATCAGGAAAGCGTCTGCCACTGGCTCCAACTCTCCCAGCATTGCCATTCAAGTGGTAGGCAAACATAAAACACCACATGGCATTTTAAGGATAGAAAGACGGGAGAAGAGAATCCCAGACCTTTAGAAAACGTAAAACCAAATCCTATTAAAGCAGAGCATGTCTTTAGAAAATGAGATTTGTACTGGTGTGAAAGGGAAATGGCCCCCATAGGCTCAAGTATTTGAACACTTAGTCACCAGCTGGTGTTGCCTGGGGAGGTTATGGATCCTTTGTGGGGGGGCAGTCTTGGGGGCAGGCTTCAAGGATTGATACCTCATCCCTCTTCCCGTCCATATCCACTCTCTTTATCTCTGCTTCCTGTGTGAGATTGAGATGCGACCCCCCACCTGCTAGCACACCTCCCTGTCATTATGGACCCTTCCTCTGGATCTGTGAGCCAAATAAACTCCCCTTGATGTGCTCCTTTTGGTCACAGTATTTCATCACAGTCATCGGAAAGTAACTAATAGAATGTTTTGAGACTCGGTGGGGGAGTCAGGCTTCCTAGGCTCCTGTGTCCACAGTCACATGCAGAAGCTGGGTGCCTGCTGCTTTCTAAGTAGAAGGACAGAGCCTCAGTTCTCAGGCACTCAGGTTTAAAGATCTTGACTGTTAGGCCAGTGAACTGCAAATTTCCAAATTCCCCTGTTAAACCTTCTGAAAACTCTTTTTACAGGCCAGGCCCCTGCACCTTCCGGGTCAGTAGGTCTGGATCGGGTCCAAACACCTGTGCGGCCAGCATTTTCCCACGATACTGAAGACCTCTAGTTAGTGGAACAGCACATTAACCAGGGTCAAAGATCGAGAGGGACTGGCAGGTGTCACTGTGGAAGTGAAGCAAACGGCGAAGCTATCCCCATAATCTAAACACTTCAACCAGGGAATCCTGTTTCTGTCGGCTTCTTCACTGCTTACCCCACAGCGCACTGCAAACTGACTCCTTCTGCATTCAGACCTTATCTGCCCAAACAAAATTGCTTCCTTTAAGCCATCTAGCTAAAAGCTCCTCAATTCTCCCTCAAACGCCCCTCCGTAGCAACTGATACGCCTACCAATTTGTTTCTTGGACATTTTTCTCCCTTGATGTTGGCAAAGCCATCCAATGGCTGTGGGTCTCCTCTGACTCAGAAGATGGTTCTCGGACTTTCTGGATGATTCCGTGTTACTCCTCCCCACTAACTTGTATTTGGTTGGTAAGTACTTATTGATCTGGAACAAAGTTCAAGGATCAAAGTACTTGCTTCCAAGTCCTGGACCTTGAGTTTGATCACCAAGACCCACACGGTGGAAGGAGAGCACCTATTCCCACAAGCTGGACTCCCGACTCTACACACATGCACTAGCAAACATGTAATCCTCCACCAAAATAAATGAATATATATAAGTTCAGAAAATACTATTTATGGAGTGTTTGGGGCATATCAGTTTGCAGAACGGCAGCGTGTCCACCACATGTGGCATTTCTTCTTAAATGACGGCATTCTTCAGCACAGCGTCTTCGCGTTGCAATAGACATTGTCTTCTAGACAAACTCACTGGCTCTCAGTGACAGCTCCCTTCTCATTCATCTCCATCTACTGGGTCTGTCCTCTTGATGTGGTCACCAATCCTATTGGTTCTTACATTCAAATAGAACACTTCTCATTCTTGCACTTCATAGCTGCTCTGGCCTGCAAATGGTGCAGCAAACAAGACCAATCCCCATTTGCTCAGTATTTTCACCCACTGGCTACACATGTCTGTCTACTTGGGCATTCTTAGTTCCACATCACCATGTCTGAAATTGATCTAAAAAATATTCTTTTCTTTAAATGATTTATTTATTTTTATTTTGTGTGCGTTGGTGTTTTGCCTGCATGCGTATCTGTGTGAGGGTAACAGATCTTGGAGTTAGAGACAGTTGTTAGCTGCCATGTAGATGATGGAAATTGAACCTGGGTCCTCTGAAGAGCATGACCTCAAACATATTCTTTCTTCCTTTAGTCTCTATTTTGCTTAGTAGTTTCTTTCTTATTATTTTCTCTAACTCATGTAAGAGCTCACTTATCCCCCCAACACACACACGCACACACACACACACAGATGCACACATGCACACACACACACAAACATTCTTCTTGTACTGGCAAGTTTCAGGTTAACTAGACACAAGTTAGAGTCATCAGAGAAAGGAAATTCCTCCATATGATTAGGCTATAGGCAAGCCTATATGGCATTTCCTTAATTAGTGATTGATGGGCTGATGATTCTGGGTCCTACAAGAAAGCAGGCTGAGCAAACTACAAGGAACAATAAGCACCCCTCCAGAACTTCTGCATCAGCTCCTGCCTCCAGGTGCCTGCCTTGCTTGAGTTCCTGTCCTGGCTTCCACTGATGATAAACTGTGATGTGGAAGTATAAGTTGAATAAACCCTTTTCTCATCGAGCTTCTTTGGTTGTGATGTGTCATCACAGCAACAGTAACCCTAATTAAGACATCTTTTCTTCCCTTGGTCCTGATGTGTTTCCTTGGTTACCAGTCCTATTGATTCTACCATATAAATAGAGTACGAGTCTCCCATACCTCCACTTTGCAGCTGCTCTGGCCTGTAACCCCTCCTATTGGGTTTACAGCAATGATCTTTTAGGTAATCTCTTTGCCCATTCAAGACCACAGTCAGTCTCACACTTTGCTAACATGCTGTTCTCATTCCTCTTTTTGTGAGGTCTAGGTTTTAAGATAGACGTGATCTTTACCACCTGCCGCAGTCACTCAAGCTACCAGCTCACTGTGTTCTTTCACGCCCTTACCCTGGCACATGCCAGTACGAACTGAACTGCTCTTCCAAATCCAGGCACATGCCAGTAAGAACTGAACTGCTCTTCCAAATCCTCCCCCCTTTTTTATTCTCTTACTGACAAAAGCATACAGAATTCTCAGTGCAGAAATAATTCTTGAAAATTCCCACCTAAGATAAGCACAATGTAAAAACAAATGAAAAGGCCAGGTATGGAGGCACACACCTTTAATCCCAGCACTTAGGAGACAGGCAAGTGGATCTCTGTGAATTTGAGGCCAGCCTGGTCTACAGAGTGAGTTCTAAGACAGTCAGAGCTCCACAAACCAAATCAACCAAACAACAACAAAATAATGAACAATGCATAGACAAAGCAAGAAGAGGAAGCATTAGAGACGTCTAGGAATAAGTATAATGTCAAGGAGTCAGAGAAAGCCAAACTAAATCCATACTCACCAGGAAATTAAATGAAAATATCCATTGTTGGTGATGGCATGAATAAGTACATACCCTCACTGTCAATGAGTTTATAAAGCTTGTACCATTTTTGGTTGGCTGGTCAAATTTTAAATGCAAAAATGCTCACACTCACATCTGGTAAGATGGATCAGTTGGTAAAAGCACTTGTGAGAGAAGCCTGATTTTAGCAGGCCCTGGACCTCAATAGCCCCCAGGCCTTAGCACAACTGACCCCGTGATGAAAGCGTCATTCAGGCCATAAAACTCAGCACAAAGACCTAAGCCATCACACTACACAGTTCTAGGAAAGTCTCTAGATGTACTAACCTTGGTTTTTAGCTTCTGTAATTCCACTTCTGGCTAACTGTGCTTGCTAACTGAAGCATGTCAACCCTAGGCATGGTTCTTGTGCTCACCCTGAGAAAGGCTTGGTGCTGCCAGCTAACAAAGACTTTCTATTGGCAGTCTTCTCTGGGACACCCTACAATACTGACAACCTGGGTTTGATGCACAGAGAACATATAAAGATAAAAGGAATGCCACAAAGTTGTCTTCTGACTTCCACATGTGCAATGCAGCTTGCATGCAATGGTACACACACACACACACACACACACACACACACACACACGAGTGCCCACATACACATCATGCATATAATGCCAAATAACAAATAAGTATTTTTTTAGTTTCTGGACTCAACAGTTCAATAAGGGGCTTAGCCTCATGATACTAAAATCAATGTCCAATAAGACATATAAGCAACAATCATTATGTTTATTATATATCATTTATAAAAATAATTGGGAACAACACAAAGTCCAATCAAGGGAACTGTTTAAACAATGTATGTACAGCCAGGCAGTGGTGGCGCACATCTTTAATCCCAGCACTCAGGAGGCAAAGGCAGGAGGATCTTTGAGTTCGAGGATAACCTGGTCTACAAGAGCTAGTTCTAGGACAGGCTCCAAAGCTATAGAGAAACCCTGTCTTGAAATACAAAACAAAACAAAACAATGTATATACATCTCTACAATGGCATAGGAATTCTATGTACAATTTGGAAAGAATAGGGTACTTTTATATGGAAAATGTGGAGAAAAAATCTCTAACAAGCTTGTAAGGAGAAGAATAAAGTTATATAAGAATATCATACTGCAATCCATTTGCTTAAGTTTAAAAGATTGTATGTACAGAAGAGTATGAAAATGCATTTTTCTAATTTTGAACAATAAAACTAAACAGAAAGAAATTACAGTAAATTAGAGATCCACACACAAGAATGAAAGACCGGAAGAATCAGTTATCAGAGGTCAGGAGAGATAGAAGCCAGGAGCGACAGCAGCGACAGCAGAGAGACCTCAGCATTCAAAGCTGGTACAGACTAGAAATCCAAGACAGACAGGAGCCTCATTAGGACAGAGCATCAACAGAAGCCTGTCCAGCAGACCCAACAAACATTCTACGAATTCACTAGGAGTGTCTCAGGGCCTACTCTGAGCAGTCACAAATCCCCAGATCTGTGGCTCCTTTAACAGGCCTGGGGCAATCAATTTACTGCACCTAGTTTCAGGGACTAAAGCAAGGAGGTGTGCAGAATCGGACACACACAATCATGGATACTGTTGGGAGTGAGCAAGTACTTCATATAACTCCCAAGTGCTACTCAACAGCCCAGCTCCATCGAAACCGAAGAAGGGGTGGCAACCTGCAGAACCGGGGTGAAAGTCAAGCTCTATTGGCTCTTTCTTGGATACTTATAAATTCCACCTAAGGTCCACCCCAGCATAGAACTACGCCTTTGACACTCAGCAACCACCGCGTTGTATGTGGCATCTTCCTTCACAGTCCATGCTAATAAACATGAAACATTCCTTTGATTTCCCCCCATGTATGTAGATTCTGACACACAACTTACAAACGGCAGAAAAATGACTTTCACTTTATCTTTCACTTCCTGATATTTGTGTGTTACTATAGTGTGGCTTACAGCTCTTCTCTCACAGCCAGTACGTACTATGCTGAGAACATTTCTGCCCTTTCAACAATAAATCCCTTAGGGCAGAGTCTAAGAAGCAGCTGTCCTTGAACTCTAAAGTAAATACAGAAGTTTCAAATTACACAAAGGAAATGTTTCAGGTAATAAGAACCACAAAGCTACAGGAAAATAATACGTAAATAGCGACCAATCGTTTATATGTCTTTGCTACTTATTGTATTTGAATTTAACAAAGCAAGTATTTTTATCTCCCTTTCCAGTGTCGTATCCTCATCAGTGAAATGGAGATAGGTGGTAGGTCCGAAATCTTGGGTCTGGTTACTGTGTGAGCAGACACTAGTATCAAGACACTGCATGCTCTTCCTCTTAAAACAGAAAAACTCCCTAGGTCAAATTCAAAAGCTGCCTGCGTCAGCAGCAGCCACACACTCGGAAAACATCAACCCACGTTCAACGTGCTGCAGTGCAGAATGGAAATATGGCAGGCGTCTAAATTCCTTATCTACTGGGAGACCCCAAAGCATTTCTTCTTAGCATCTATAAATTGGGGTTAATGCTACTTACTGAAGATTGAAAGATTGACTACACAATCCTTGGTAATCTCCTCAGAATTGAAAAGTACTGTGAGACACATCACTCAAATTAGTAACCAGAGATCTTGAGTTTTATCTGCCTTCAAAATACTATATCTTCAAGATGTAAGTTTCCCCTTGCATAATCTAAGGGCAGGATTCAAAGAGATCTTTGGTATTAGCAGGAGAGGAAGACAAATCCAAAGAGAAATGAAATATTGCTGAGATAATGAAAACGACGATCAGTTCTAGAAGCCCTTGGTCATCACTGTTAATTAATAAGAATTGAACACCTACTGGGCACGGAGCCCTGGAGTGCTCTTAGTTTAATGAAAGAGTCATTGAATGCTTTAGTGAATTAAAATTTTGATTCATGACAAAGATAGAGTGAGCTTCTAAAGGTGTACCAGAATTGGATGGAGAACCAGTGCTAGACAGGCAGTTATTCTGACCCTCTTTACGCTTTCCTTGGGTAGAGGTCATCCAGATTCTCTTAAGTGATGCGCTTTGACATATCTGATTGACTTTCAGTAAGCACAGAGAGATCAAAATTCAGCTTCAAGTTGCATGACCAAAGTTGGCTTAATCCACAGAAACAGAACAGGTCAAACTAGAGTTCAGAAATAAAGAAGAGAAAGCAGGTTATATGAAAGTTCAGACTTCAAGAAACTCCTCAAGAGCAAAAGACCTCATGCAAAGTTCATTTCAAAGGAAGGCACCAAAAATATCAGAATTCATTAGAATAAAGGAAAGCAGAAAGCTAAATATTTCTGTGTTTTAAAACATGCTGTTTTATACGTACTACTTAGGAAAAAGAAATAAATTTAGCAAGGCAGGAGCAGAAAGAGAACTTGGTGTCACTGTCTTATTATTCCTAAATACTGGAAATAACCGAAATCTCCCAAGCAACGTGTACCTCTCACAACGTCATTTACAGAGGAAAGAAGAAGGAAAATAGGGGAGAAAATTCAATTAGGAACGCATCCAATACTTGTGATTGTGAAGACTGTTGAAAAAGAAAGGAAAAAAGAAAACAAAGAAAGGAAAGGGGGTTAGGGAACATGCAAGAACCACCTGTGATGAAAATGTCACCCCCTAGCCCGGCAGTGGTGGCACACGCCTTTAATCCCAGCACTCGGGAGGCAGAGGCAGGCGGATCTCTGTGAGTTCGAGGCCAGCCTGGTCTACAAGAGCTAGTTCCAGGACAGGCTCCAAAGCTACAGAGGAAACTTGTCTCGAAAAACAAAACATAACAAAAACAAATCAAACAATATAAAAAACAACTCTTCTGGAAGCAGATTCTCCCAACATCACTTGATAAACGTCCACTGACTAAGGGAAGGAGCAGAGAATATGGCTGGAGAAACCTTTTCCAGATTCTTTCCCACAACAGTGTATTTTATCGGTGTCTCTACAGCATTTGCGAAAACCTGACACAGAGGTAATTACAGTGGCAGGGGTGGGAGAGGCCAGAGGTCTTGACCTCCAGGAAGGGCCGGGTTTGCTTTCAGGTACCTTTTGCCCCAGGTAGAATGCTGTGCCCTGAGCTATTGCATAACCTGGAATGCTGACAGAGACAGGTGCACAGAGGAATAAACACAGCAAGGGCAGAGGAGTGATCAGTTGTCACTGTTTGAAAGTTTAAATTAGAGTCTGGGAAGTGTGGAGTTTTTCCTGATAGAGAAGGGAAAGTGATGGGCAGTAATGCCCCACCTAGGTCTGTACTTTTTAAAAAAGATGCTCATCAACAGGACAAGCAGAAAAGCATAAAAGAGTTTAAGGGTAGAAATGGACAAATAAGAAGCTAGATGTAAGATCCCAAGTCATTTCACTACAATAGTGAGAGGGAGAAGAGTTTTAGGTTTAAACTGAAGGGTCAGGTAGGCTCTAGCAGCAAGCAAAGAAAAGCAAAAGAACCCTGTCTTTTTGTACTGCAGGGTTCTGAGAAAACAAAGTCCAACCACCAGAAAGAGCAGGTTTGCCAGAGACAGGCATAGTACTTGGTCATGAGAAGATTGGTGAAGACCATCACCAGGAGAGCAAAGAAGAGGAAGCAAGAAAGAAATCACCTAGCAGTAGAGTCTGGGAGAAAGAATCCATAGACACACTAGGCAGGTGGGAAGAGGGGCACAGCATCTAGATGATCAGAAGAGGAAAGCGAGCTTAGGGGAAAAAGAAAACCAAGGAAGGGCCTCCACCCAGCAGAAAGGCCAAGACCCAGCAGAAAGCAATGGCATGGTATAAAGCGTGCGGGGTGAAGGGTGGAGATACTAAAAGGATGAATATGAATTCAGTGCTGCGGAGGGCAAAGCAGGCAAAGACTTGAGACATCAGTGGTGCAGAGCAGTATGCAGGGCTCAATGGTTACTGTGCAACTTCCTTGGAGTGGTAAGATGTGGGGCCCTGCTGCAAGCTGGTGCAGACTGAACCATCTGAAGATGGGAGCAGCCGTGAGAGATCGCTGCATCTGTTGTGTAAATAAATGCAATGGGATTGTGGAATAGCAATGTGAAGTGAAAAGATTGGGGACTTTTGTTTGTTTGGGCTGATGTTGGTTGTCGTTGTTGTTTTTCCTTGTGTACTAATGATATTGTAACTTTAAAAAATGCCAAAGAAGGAACAAAATGTCAAAACAGAAAAGAAATGGCAAAGCCAATGAGGAATAAGGGACAGAAATCACTCACAATTAAATTCAAGTTTCCTGAAACAAAGTCTTCGATGTATTTGTAATCTGAAGGTAAAAAAAAAAAATATACCCTCATCTTTTGAGTGATTCACTTACTAAGAAATGCAGGTAGGGAGGAATCCTGTAATTCTGAACCAAGGTGGGCCAGCACCATCCTTGGTACAATGCAATGGATAGTTTAGACTTAAAGAGAGAAAAGGAATACAAGAGATGAGCAGAAGCAAGAACCAAGATGGATAGACTCTAAAGGGCCGGAAGGACACTTACATTTCCAAAGTACTTGTCCAGCAACTCCACATAACGATGTACAATCTCTAGTGTCAAGAGCTCATTGTCCTGATTTTCTATTGCACAGCAAAAATATAAACTAGCATACCTTGAAAAGAAAAAAATAAGAAAAGGCAAAATTGAATGAGACAATAAACAAGCTTAAGTGGGTTTTCCCAATGGGTGTGCAGTCTCCTGCTCTCTCTCGAGATTCCCTCCACACAAGGATAAAATTCATTGCTCATGGCACGCAGTGCACTCCTCAAATATAAACCAGAATACATAAAGATGCCGCAGCGGTTAATTACTTCATTAGTCACATGAGAGGCTCTCAACAGAATTTCACCTTGAAGAGCTACAATCAGAGGGATGGTATCCTTTCGTTCGCGATAATTGGGGTGCTTGCTCGCGCCCTTTTCCAATTTGTATCACCCCCTTTAATATACAAGCCTTCAGCAGCGCTCTCAGGGGCACACACTACCATATCTGGCTTCACATGGTGATTCGTTCTATGCCAAATCTCCGAACCGATAGAAGCTGCTTTGCTAAAGCCCTTCCTAGCAGTGGGCTCTACTAACTATCAGACCCTACATGCCACGGAAAGAGAGCATTTCCAGTGTGAATTTTCCGTTTTGGAAACCATAGTTTAATAGAGGACATGAAGTCAGGCTGGCTCTGTTCAGGCCCTATCTTAGGCATCCATTACCTGAGTCTTCATTGAAAAGCTTCCTTTACCTCTCAAGCCTCAGATTTCTCGTCTATAAATGAGGATGCTTTGATAGTATGGTCTTGCCACTTCAAACAGATGTATCAAAAGAAATAAAGGCTTTAAAGGAAGAAAGTTCTAGGCTTGAGTACTGGCTCCACTGATTACCATTCAACTACTGTGACCAGGAAGTAATTGCTTAAACTGTGTGTCCTCAGTTTACCCATCTGCAAATATGGACAGCTTTAATATTGGAAATGGTTCTCATTCTTCCAGCACATTCACTTATGTTTTCCCATAGCATTTGGAACTGAATATATGTTGATTGCTTAATAAATAATTTTGCTTCTTGAAAACATGAACATAGTCTGTCTCATTCTTTTGCTGCTGTATCTACGGTCATTGAAATGATGCCGGGAATGTAATTCACGCAACAGTATTGGGCATGCGCGTGCAAATTCAGCGTACAGTTTAAGTATTTAGAATCAATCCTAGCATGTGGAAGCTGTTTTAATCAGATGGGGAATCTTTACAAGCCCTGTCATTGCTGCAAATATTTAGACTCTCCTCATCAGAGATTTCAGAAATTGCCGAGATGGGTATTGCAATCTAAAATGGTCAGAAGGGAAATGAGTCAAAGCCACAGTGAGATGTTTGGTTCTTGGGAAGTTACTCACACCTTTTATAAACAAGTTTCAGCTCCTTCCAGTCAATGAAACTGCTTGTCCTGTGCCCACGAGAAAGGACAGCCTGGATGATCTCCCGGGTGATCTTCTTCCTCTCCTTGTCAGGGAGCGTGGTGTACCATTTCTGAAGCCGAAGTTTCCCTTGTCGACTGAAGAGCAAGATGAAATGTATCTAGAACAACAGTGCACAGAGAAGGCCAGGGTTTAGTCATCCAGGTGACTCACTGCACAGATCAGGGTGTTCTGGGGCTGGGTGGAGCTAGGAATGTATACAGAAAGGTATTTACCCACCACAGAATGAGCCCATCTTAACATGCCCCCACCAGGGAGCCAAAGGTGGAACATCACACACACACACCTTACTTCTGTTCCAGAAGAACATGTTGAAAGGAATTTAATTCCTTTGAAAAATTGTAAAATTCATCAAGACACAAAACATATCAAAGGAAGTAGTGGTACTCTTTGAAGCAAATTCCTCCTCGAAAAGCAAAACAAACAAGCACCATGTTTTGACCAGCTGAAGGATTTTTAGAGTTATAGCCTCTGCTCCATATCACAACGATGAAAACACAGGAATGGAAAGAGGACAGAGGAAGGAGGAGGTAATTATATTTTACTTTTAAATTTTTGTAAATGTTAAAAGAACGAAATTAAATAAAGAGAAAGCAAGGGGAAAGAGCAATAAACAGCCAGAGGAGAGGAACTAAGTGTGACCGCTTAGCTCACCTATCTACCACCTATTATCACCTATCTATTACCTATCTCAGGCCTCCTCAGCATGGTAGATGGGTAACAGTTTCTAAGGGTGTTAGCCATGAAAGTTACCAGGAAGTGTTACCAGTTCTATCAGTAAGAAACTTGATTTTGTTTACAAATCAGTTTTGCTATGTGTATTCAAAATAAAGTTTCATATTTTAGCGACTTTTAAGAACTTTAAATGGTCAGGTGGTGGTGTATGCCTTCCTTTAATCCCAGTACTCGGGAGGCAGAGGCAGGCAGATCTCTGTGAGTTCGAGGCCAGCCTGGTCTACAAAAGCTAGTTCCAGTATAGACTCTAAAGCTACAGAGAAACCCTGTCTCAAAAAGCCAAAAAAAAAAAAAAAAGAACTTTAAATGAGGGACGACAACCTAAGTCCTGTACCTTAGAGGTAGGGTAGAGTTTATTTACAAAAACAGTCAGGAAGCCATCCACTCTTTATTTTACAGAAAGATTTTCCCAGCCCATCATATTAGAAGACTTAAAGGCTTATCTTTACTTATGTCTATGATTTATTTCGTTGTTGTTTTTATTAATTAAAAACTAAACAAATATGTAGAACTGGAGAGAGGACTCAGTGATTAGGTACACTTGTTGCTCTTGCAGAGGACCCTGGCTTGGTTTCCAAGCACTCCATGGTTGCTCACAACCACCTACAACTCCATTTCCAGGGATCCAAAGCCCTCTTCTGAAATCTAAGGGCACCAGACACTCACTCATGTGGTGTACATACATACTATATGAAGGCAAAACACACCTACATGTGAAATAAAATAAATATATCTAAAAATAAATCTATATAAATAAGATGCATTGTTTCAATAAATTGTTTTGTGAGTGGAACGATACATGCTGTAAACGAAGAATAACTATAGTCTAAAAAAGACAAAAACGAAAAACAAATAGTCTCTTCTTTTTGCCAAAGAGGTTTCTCTCTTAATGCCATGGCACAGACCCTAACAGCTTGGTAGGTGGTGATACGTGAGGTGAAGGGACACCAGGATCTTTCCTGGGAAGGTCCTCTAACTTACAGAATAGGGGCTTCTTTTTGTAATTAATTTTATTTGTTATTAGTGTATATGTGCATGGTTCTCTCTGTCTTGCTGTCTCTGCCTCTGTGTCTCTATCTTGTCTCAGTGTGTGTGCGTGCTTGTGTGTGTATGCATGCTTGTGTGTGTGTGTGCGTACTTGTGTGTGTGTTTGCATGCTTGTGTGTGTATGCATGCTTGTGTGTGTGTGCGTACTTGTGTGTGTGAGTATGCATGCTTGTGTGTGTGTGTGCGTGTGTGTGTGTGTGTATGTGTGTGTTTGGCTGCTGGTAGAGGACAGCTATGGAAGACAGACAACTGGAGTTGATTTTGTCCTTCTACCTCTAAGAGGGTTCCAGGGACAGAGTTTTGGTTGTGGCCTTTTATTTATTTATTTTGTTAAGTAGAGCTAATGTAGTTTTTTTTTTTTTTAAGAGTGACCACAAGCTCCTAGTCACACAGACAGCACAAGGCAAGAAAACAACTTAAAACTCCTGCTCAATAAGCTGCTTCAGGAAAGCGCTTCCTAAACCTGGAATGTTCTTGAGCACTGCAGTTAGATGGCACACTTCCCACTGTCCCTGGCGACCTGAGCTCCATCCCCAGGACTCACATGGTAGGAAAAAAGAAGAAAAGAATGCTGCATTGCCTTAAATTCTATTTGCTGTTAGACAGGTCTAAATGATTCAGGAACAGAACACAGTGACTGTTTCCCAGCAATCATACTGAGATGGGTACTTTGCCTCCTATCCTGGATGGTTTCATTGTCAACTTGACACAATCTCGTGCCACCTGGGAAGAGCAAATCTCATCTGAAGAGTAACCTCAACTTGACCGCCCTACAGCATGTCTGTGAGAAAGTGTCTTTCGTTGCTGTTGTTTTGTTTTCTGTTTATTTGTTTGTTTTCTTTTGCTTTAGTTTTTCAAGTCAGGGTTTCTCTATGGAACAGCCCTGGCTGTCCTAGAACTCATTCTGTAGTCTAGGCTGGCCTTGAACATATAGAGATCCTTTTGCCTCTGCTGTCAGAGCACTGAGATTAAAGATGTGCCACACCACTGCCTAGAGAGAATGTGTCTTGATTGATGGTTGATGGTGGAGGCCCTGCTCTTCTGTGGAAACGCCATTCCTAGACAGGCCTGGGGTGTATAAAAAAGCTAGCCCAGCCAGTGAACGAGCTGGTACACAGCATTCCATGCTTCCTAGCCCAGCCAGTGAACGAGCTGGTACACAGCATTCCATGCTTCCTAGCCCAGCCAGTGAATGAGCTGGTACACAGCATTCCATGCTTCCTGTCCTGTATTCCTGCTCTGACTTCCCTCAGTGATGCACTGTGAGATGGAAATGTAAACTGAAATAAACTCCTCCTCCAAGTCGGTGTTGGTCATTGTGTTTTCTCACAGAGACAGAAATCAAACTAGAATACCATCCTAATAATAATAGAAAACTGAATGGCTCTAAAATTTAAAAAAAAAAATCAAAATTGCACAGAACTCAGGATCTCAAGAACAAGGCTCAGTCTGTGATTACCACCAGATGAGTGGCCAGATTTCTGCTAGAGGGATTAAATCTACGAATTCAGAGGGTGTTTGCTTTCATTTCCCATTAGAAATACTGTTTTCTTCCTATCTAACCTAAATCTCTTCTGCCTCACCTGAAGTTTCTCTTGACTTTATCCCAGAGCACAAAAAGACACAGCCTCAGTAACCTTAAGTAATAAACTCTTCAGCTACTTAAGATGGTGCTGCAAGCTTCTCAACCATTTCCTTCCAGAAGAAACACTGACCCTGCTGTCCACTCCTTGTATATTTACAGGTCTCACTCTAGAGAGTCCCTTGGAACTCTCCATAGACTAAATGTTACTCTGTCAACCCAGACTAGTTCTGGGTTCTCTGTGAGACTGGTGGCTTCCTTTCCACCTTCTCCTTTCTGCAAAAAAGGACATCAGAATGAGATGTCCATGCTAATATGACATGAACATCGATAATCTAGAACAATGAAGAAAGAGCACTTGAAAAACCAGTCAAGGAATCTAAAGAGAAAGGATAAAAAGAACATGCACACACACACACACGTTCATGTGAAATATGATACAATGGAATCAGTTCAAGTTCACTCAATAGCTGTAGAAAGGAGCGGCGGGCCGCTTCCTGCCACCCAGCTTATACCCCGAAATAACAACACACAAACTGTATTCATATAAGCACTGCTTGGCCCATTAGCTCCAGCCTCCTACTGGCCAACTCTCACATCCTTATCAACCCACCTCCACTAATGTGTGTAGCACCACGAGGTGGTGACCCACCAGGAAGATTCTAGCGTATGTCCATCTTGGGCTGGAGCTTCATCGCGCCTGCCCTGGAGAGGAGAGGCATGGCATCTGCCTCACTTCCTCTTCCTCCCAGCATTCTGTTCTGTTTACTCCACCCACCTATGTTCTAACCTATCAGGCCAAGCAGTTTCTTTATTAATTAACCAATGAAAGCAACAGATTGATATATGACACTCCCACATCAAATAGCTAAAATAAGTCATTGTTAGAAGACTCAGTCCTGGCAAGTTTCGTGATTTCTGCTGGGGAACCAGTTACCTCCTCAGATTTAATTTCATAGGTTGGGCAAGCTAGCAGCATGGATTGTAATGATTTCACAAGCTGATTACCTCCTACAATTAATTTTATCTAATTTATTGGTGTAGTCATTCAGGGCACATTTGACAAGTTCATTTCAAGAAGTTAATCAAATACAGTCTTGTATTAGCATTATTTTGAGTAGCAAAAAAAAATGAAAGTGTTTCTTTTTTCATTATTAGAGTAAACTTGGATTTGATGCCCAAAACAAACTTGTGTCTTCAGAAAGCAATGCTTAATACCCCACCACCATCACCACAGATAATGCCACTAACAGGAAAGAAAAGGGAGAGATAGTAACACCAACTCTGTTAAAATCTATAGGGTGTCGAGCAGGGTTATGGTCTTATTATACATTTGACCCAAAAGCTAAGTCTGGGTTGCCCCCTGTGTCCACCCAGAACTGTCACCCTCTTCTCAGGACAGGCCACTTTATTGGTCCCATTTTGAGGGGTCTAGTTTGGGCACAGATGGTCTGTCAAATGCAGAGGTGAACTGTCAGATGGATCAAGCATTCCTTGTCTTCAGCATCCACTAGAGTAAGACTTGACCTCATTGGGCAAACCCAGAACTTGGATAGTTTGTTTTTTTCCTTGTTATAGACCACCATTCAGGGAGAAGGCACCACCAGGCCTCTGACAGAAACGCAAACCAGACTAGCGCCAATCCATCTGTTCTATTACTTTGGACTACTGTTGCCATCTTACTTCTAGTTTATTATGTACAGAAAAGGCTTCAAATAGCAGCACTGGTTCCCAAC